CCTGAAAAGAATCTTTGCATTATCACTTGCAGAGTTTTTTTTAATAATGTATTTTGGTTGAATACTTAGACTATCACAAAAAATGTTCAAAATTAATTTTTGAAAATGAAAAATCTTTCTTGAAGTTTTTATTTTAATTTCAAGCTTAAAGATTAAATTGATTATTTAAAAAACTAATTTAAATTGACTGGAATGTTATATTTTTTGGATAAAATAGCTGATTAGCATCTACTTTTAGTCTTCCTTCGTCATAATGTAATTCTCTTAACTAAAAATATTACAAAAATAAAATATAATTTTCTGAAATTTTATTTGAGAAATATTAGCTGATTTAAAGTATAATTAATCTGATTAAAAAAAAGTGTTTAAAATATAGCAGAAATAGGTTTGTTTAACCTGACAGTAGCTGTGTTGACAAACTGATGGCTAGTCTAATGTTGTTCTCCGTAGAATTTATCTGTATAAAATAGGCACTGTGGTGTAATGGACAGCGGCTCGGGTTGAGGAATTGGAAAGTCTAGTTCCAATTCCAGTCTAATCCATTACGTCCACTTACGTGCTAATGCTCTTGGGAAAGATATGAATCCTCTTCTTCTCTCACCAGATATCGGTTTCTATAGCCTTGAATGGTAACTGGTCTACCTCAGAAAGAAATGGCAACCTACTGCGGAAAAAAAATCTGCCTCGTCAGTCATGTATCACCTAAGCGTGTATCACGCATAGCACATAATTGAAAAAAAATGACGTGACTGACTTTTTGATATATTTTTTTCAGTACCCAGTAATCTTAAAAATCTAGGAATACTGGCTTTAAATTAACTATAGTTATGGCACTTATTTTCTGATAAAGTCGTGTATGGTTGCCTGTACTTACAAAAACCGGTACGTTTATACGCACACACACAAAAAAAAATCAAAGTTTTCTTAAAAACAATGTATTAACAATAAATTGCTGGTACTGCCTGGAGAGTTGACGGACAGGCCAGCCTAAGAAATTCTGGTGTTTGGATGCTGAAGTCTAACATCAATCAGCTAAGTGACAAACTTTTACTCATATTAATCCTATGATTAGTATATATTTTTTCATTTAATAATAATACCATCTAAAAGGCTGAAATACAGAATGTTAAAAGATGTAAAATTTAATATTTTTTCTAATTAAAATTTTAAAACAATGAAAACAATTATCGTAAAAAATCATTATTCAATGAAAAAATTGTTTTTTTTTTAAATTTATAATTGTTTTTTTTTAAATTTAGTGTCCTTAATATATCATATAAAAGTAATTAAGAGCTTTACTAATTAAATAATGTCATATTTTTATTACAGGTTTCGTTTTACAATTCAGAGCAGGTTTTCAGTAACTGGGTGGGGGGGTGTTGTTTTCGTGTCTTGCAAAAAGAAATTGATGATTTAAATTATCCAAAGAGTTCTGCTTTTAACTAATATAAATATGAAGAAGTTGAAATTTTAATTTCTCTAAATTTCAAAATATTAGGTAGGGGTAACAAATGTAAAAAATATATATTTTTACAAAAATTTTATAAAAAGCATATTTCGAAACTAATTTTATTTATTTGTAAATAAGACCTGAAAATTTTATTAAAATAACGAAGTGCGACGCGTATAATATAACCATTTTATACTTTTAATTTCGTTTTTGTTTGTTTTTGATTTGGCCAACTGCTTATTATAGTAGTTCACTCAGTCAGAAATTTTGAGATGGCATGCTGCACTGCTTGGCATTCACGCCGGAAGCTGCAATACGAACATTTCTGAGTATTTGGGTGTCAATCTGAGGATAATGCAGAGTTGAATGAGTCTAACGGTGATTACGAAGTTATAGCGGCTCGGAAAACTCTGATAGTTCTGATAAGAAAAGAACTCCAGGATTTGTTGCTGTTGTCCTACATAAAGTGCCTTGGTGGGGTAGTGATGCTATGTATCAAAAGGGTGGCTGATGGAAGAGCCTATGTTTGGCAACAAGACTCTGCACCATGCCACATAAACAAGAGAACCTAGTCATATCAATTTCTGCGACCACATCACCCTTTATATCTGGCCATCTAACTCCCCAGACTGCAACCCTCCTGATTATTATGTGTGGGGCACAGTTGAACAAGAGATCAAGGAAACTCCTTGTAACTGAAACTTGGAACTGAAATCAAGGACTATAGCAGCATTCACCAACTTATACAAAGAGACCGTCCAGAAGAGATGCAGAAGATTCTGAAGTTGTCTAGAGACGATTTTATTGAATAAATTTACTCCTTAGTAGTTCAAGAAATTTTGTATAATTTTGGTAAATATATTTGTTAAAATGAGAAGTCCGTGTTATTTCCATTTTTGCCTAATTTAGACGACAATTTACCCATCGCACCATCTATACGAGGTCTGATTAAAAAGTATCAGGACTGGTATTATACAACGAAAATAACACGTTAATTAGGAATTTAATTCCCTTCTGAAGCCACGCAGTGTCGTCTCCATCGATGGACGCATTCCTGGAATTTCTTTTTTTTCCGGATAGCGAGCAGCTGTCTAGTCTCTTTGTCTTGGATTTCCTCGGTGTCTGGAAAAATTGTTCCTTTCAAGTTGGATTTGGTTTTTGTAAAGAGGAAAAAGTCACAAGGGGCGAGATCTAGGGAATATGGTTGTCGTTTCTGGGAAATGTTATTCTTGGCCAAAATCTAATGCACAACCTATGGTCATTGATGGAGACTTTGTGGCGTGGTGAGAAGACTACACTTTCCTTCCAAGCATTAATATAAATAACAGAGATGAGAGAGAACGTTATAATTTAGTGTGCACACGGGACAGAGTTCAAGATCAGTCTCTGCTAGGCGGCTTCACTTTGTGTACATTTAGCTCCGTTACCATAGCAACAGTCCCGATAATTTTTGTCAGACTACGTATATATATATATATATATATATATATATATATAGGTAACTATACTCGTTTCGAAAAACCTTCGAATTTTTGATTTGCCAATAATCAAATCAATCTCGAAGGAAAAAAAAAGTTTTAAAAAGAATGAGCTATAAACATGAAAGTCTGTCGAAAAAATCGCACAGATACAGGTTTGAAGCCCAAAGAAAAAACCCCGACACGAGTAAACAACTAACTAACTAAAGAACTCAATACAACCGTAGAGCAGACCTAGATAAACCTAGTGAACCAGACAAATCTACCCAGGTTTCACCTAAGCGGATCGTCAGGGAATTCCCTGACGATCCGCTTAGGTAAAACCTGGGTAGGTTTGTCTGGCTCACTAGGTCTCTCTCTCTATATATACATATATATATATATATATAAAGAAAGAGAGAGGGTGGAGATAGATATTAAGTGTAATTGGACTGCAGTTATATAATTTATATTAGTTTTAGGAACAATGAATATTCTTTGCATAAGATTTTTGTCATTTGTTTCTACGATTCGGCTAATTTTTCCAGTTTTCACAGAGCACTTGAACATATATTATCCGATCCTTTTGAGCGCTTTCGGCTTTCATAAAATAAATTTCATATGTTGATAGTGTGGTGTCCATATGTTTTTCTAGTGTTTGACTTTCACGCGTCAGTGGCTATCATGCTGGTTTTTTTTTTTTTCAAGTATTGCGTCTTCGCGTGTCATTTTTGGCGTGGAGTCTTTTTTAATTTTTTTAAATCGTCATTTGAGATGTTTGTTTCTAATTTGAATGAAATTAACGTCAAGATATTTGTGATCAAACTATCGCGGAAAACCGGCTCGGAATGAAAAGAATTTGTAACATTCACTTACGCGCAATTGCCCCTGTAAAAGGTATGAGTAAATATCCTACCTCCGTCTATGGGTTAAATAATAGGACTTGTGTCTGAAGAAATTGTTAATGAAATATTTACTCGCCCCACCCCTAAAAAGGAATTATTCTTACACTCCAAAATATGGGTCTGGTAAACCGTAAAAAATAAAATAACAAAATTCTCTAAAAAAAGAAAAATAATTCCGAATTATAGAAACATTAAATAAATTTTAAAGAACCTTCGCTGATATTCAACCAAATTGCACACACAATATATATATATATATATATATATATATATATATATATATATATGTGTGTGTGTGTGTGTGTGTGTAATTGAATAAATTACAAACATTATGCCTGCTTATTTTTATCATAAGCCTTTCATATTCACGAATATTTTTCCGTATATTACAATCAAATAAGGCAATAAATGCACTGCAACAGTGAAAATCGCTTTTATTTCCCAAGTACTTTTAATCTCTTTCTGAGATCATCATTATGGGTGCAAATAATAAGGCAAGCATTACCAGTTGCACCCCTGATGATGACCTCAGAAAGAGTTGGAAGGTTACGGTGCATTTCTTGCCTCATTTGATTGTAATATACGGAAAAATATTCGTGGATATGAAAAGATTACAGATAACAATTTTCTGATAAAAATAAGTAGACATTTTTGTAATTTATTCAATCAGACATGCCTAAAAGAGAATGTGCTGCCTAAATACACACACACACACACACACACATATATATATATATATAGAGAGAGAGAGAGAGGGAGAGAAAAGGAGAGAAAGAGAGAGATAGAGAAATAGAATGAGAGAGAGTATGCGCATGCTTATATGTCTATGCGTGTGTGTGTGTGTTTGTGTGTATTTGTAAGATTTGACCCAAGTGGATACATAATTAAGACGAATCGTTCCGCGCTAAAAGACCTTAGGAAGTGCTTGAATTTCATATACACCATTACAACGCAAATTATAAATGTTACGAATAGTCGAATAGTGTTTAGGAGAAATCCAAAACTCCTCATCCTGATGGATAGCTTCGATGACTTATCTCCAAGTCACCTGCAAACTCTCGAAGCGAATGATAGGCAAAGCTGAGACGACGGACTTTTCCTTGAAGTATTCATCTCAACTCTGTCGGCCAGATCCGAGGACAGGCCGGTGTTGGTCTGCCTGCTCACTTGCCAAAGGCGTCATGACTATTAGGCCCGTTTATGGCTACTTGATACTTTAATGCACCCGGAAAAGTGCCGGTAATTCTCTCCGGCCATAAGCTCTAAGAGCAGCTGGACACTAGGAAGGTTCTCGGAAACAAAGGTTGGCAAGGAGGGTAGAGATGGTTGCAAGTGCAGTAGCGAAAGAGAAATAAAGGATAAAAAGAGAAAAGTAAGGGAAGTAGCAGTGTTCACTCTTTTGTCTATGGCTGGGTGTGAGGGAGAAAAAGAAATGGATATCGACTAAGTTTGTCTGTGTATGTATATGCATACATACATACATACATACATACATACATACATACATACATACATACATACATACATATGTATATATAAGGAAGGTAAGAAAGAAACGAAAAGAGAATGTTACTTTTGTAGTTCATATGAGATAAAAAAAAAAGAAACGAGCAGAAATAAAGGGAGAGGGAGAGGAAGTAAGTGAAAGAGGGAAACAGTGTAAGATTATGAGTGAAAGAGAGTAAGAGAGAGAGAGAGAGAGAGTGGCAGAAAGAGTGACATGAAGTGTGATTGTGGGAGCGAGAGATATAGCGAGTGAGAAAGAGTGAGAATTTGAGAAAGCGTGTTAAAGAGCGAGTCAGTGAGTGAAAGATCGAATGGGTAAGAGAGAGTGTCAAGAGAGTGTGAGAAAGAGTGATAGTTAGCGAGACATTAAGAGAGATTACGAGCGAGAGAGTGATATAGTGTGTGTAAGAAAGAAAGAGTAAGAATAAAAGAATGGGCTAAAGAGAATGTATGAGTGAACAGTTGATTGTGTGAGAGTAAGAGAAAAGATAATAAAATAATAGAAATCGAGAGAATATATATATATATATAGAGAGAGAGAGAGAAGAAAGAATATAAACGAAGAGCATATCAAGGCGAAATGTACATTTGCAAATATAAATATCTACTTAAATCTATATATATATATATATATATATATATCGACCTCCACTTACGTGACTGCTATAAGAGAAACCATCACTTATCAAAATTACCGTTATACGATCCAGTAAAATAAGACGAAATAGCAAAACTGATGTCACCACTCTGAACGCTAACTTTTGTCTAGCGTAACAATTAATTGGCTTTAAATGGAGTATACATGAAATTCAGGCGTATACTTCATTACAACGAAAATAAAAATATTTTAGTAATAGTAAAATGGACAAGGTTCTTTAAATTTTGATTGACCAAGTTTATTGGAAGATTCATTATTTATAGTTTTTCACTAAAATGATTCCATTATTGTAATTATTATTTGATTTTTAAATAAATTACTTATATTGAGCACATTTGCTATATTTTCAAGAAAAAAAATAGTATTATTCAACTAGTATTACTCAAGTTTTCAGGGTGTATTTTTTAATATGCCCGATATATCGCGTGAGTTTCAGCTTATAATACCTAAACTTCTTAAAAATATTTATAATAATTTGTTTTAGGTATGTCAGGTTTTATTAAGTTGAGTCATAATTAATTTCTGTTTTTGTTTACCAAATTTTATTTTTCAAGAAATAAAGTACAGTTAAAATTTATTCAATTATATATTAACCATGATGTACAATGAAGTGTTGCCACTTACTAAGCAGCTATTCGATAACTCTTAAATAAAATCCGAAGGTTTTGATGTGAAACCTTTTCATTTTTTTAGGTTAGTTTATATTGATAAGAGTGAAAGAATACGGTTGACTCTAGACTTAGACAGGTTGAAATTTTAGTGATCAGGGAAACATCCTCTAGGTAGTCTCATGAATCTGGTTTTCATTAGGGAATGCGTCCTCCATCAACAGGTTTTACAGCATTCAAGAAAGGGAATAATTGGTTATTAAGTCAGATGAATATGGGGGGATTGGTCTAGAAGACACTAATCAAGTTTCAAACTTTTTCCGTGTTATTCTTACAGTATAAGACAATGAACAACATTTTTTCTTTAAACATTTGTGTACGTTGCCATTGTCGTGCACAAACTAATGTATGTTCGTAGATGATATTCTCAGCATCCTTCTGTAGAACCATATTTCTGTTGCTCCAAGTCTCTTCTTCATCTGTGAAGAGATTGTCCGGCATTCACTGCCATATAGGAGAACCGATATTACTTAACAGTGCAGTACACTTTTGTTTGCTTCTAATTAAATTTTCCTGTTTCTTAATACTTTGATTAACTTTTGGAAGGCATGTTTCGCTATCCCAATGCAACTTCGGATTTTGGTGCCAAATTTTCCAACCTTTGTTAGAATCCTTTCCAGATATTAAAATTTTTGTACTTGATTGATTTTGATATCTTCAGTCTATAATTCGCGTGTTCGGATGTCACTACAAGTTATAAAAGTATTCATTTTATTTAATACATTTTAGAAATTAATGATTTATTTGTGATCTCTAGTCTCTCGAATCCGTTTTTCAGCAAGAAGAAGGAAAACTCTGAATTTACAACCAGTCTGGAGAGAGAGAGGGAGAGAGAGAGGGGGGAGAGGGGAAGAAAGAGAGAAAGAGAGAGAGGGGGGAGGGGAGAGAAGGGAAGAGAGAGAGAGAGGCTATCTTTTTCTAGGTATACCTTCTTTTACGTGTCGTGTCTCTTCAGGACGAGGGCGTTCATGGTCCTCCACATCTTCCTGCCCCTTGTAGCTCTTAATAAATTTTGTCTTTTTGTTATTTATCACAAACCCTGTTCTACTATCCATTTACTCAAGCTCATCAAGTATATTACGCGCTGCTTTCCTCTGACCCTCTTTTTGTCAATCTGCCTCGTGAGTATCAAATTTTTCAAACCCTCTTTCTTCATTACGCGCCCCAGAAATTTCACCTGCTTCTTCCTGATGTTAAATAAAAGTTCCCTTTTTGTTTCCATTTTCTCTAAAACCTTCTAGTTGCTCACATCTTCAGTCTATGGTATCCTCAGCATCGTTCTGTAGAATTGCGTTTCTGTTGTTTCATGTTTTTTCTTCATCTTTGAAGAGATTTTCCAGCATTCGCTGTCATATAGGAAGATATATATCACGTAACAGTTCAGTACCCTTTTCTTCGTTTCTAACGATATTTTCTTGTCTCTTAATACTCTGCTTATCTTTTAGAATGCATCTTTGGCCATCCCGATGCGTCTTCGGATCTCAGTGTCACATTTTCCGTCCTCTGCTAGAACACTTCCAAAATATTACAATTTTTGTACTTGTTTGACTTTTGTATCCCCGATTTGTAAATTGCATTATTCTGGGCTCATCATTTTACTGGTAACCATCCATTCTGTCTTTTTATAATTCATACTTAGTCCTTTCTTCTCGCTTTCTTTGCTACCTTCTGTAGGACCTTTTGCAGTATCCTTTCTGTGTCTGCAGTCAGCACTGTGTCATCTTGTGTTGTTATACTCTTGCTGCTGTAACTAGAGTAGATGTAGTGCCCCCTCAACTCTAATGGTTTACGGGACTTGATTCAACAAAGAATATTGTTTTGTATACTCACCTAATCAAATTTCATCTTGTGGTTCTCCAATAGTTAAATTTTGCATAATTGTCGATTCATTTCTCAGCATTTCGTTATAGAATTGCATTCTCAACATAAAATAATGTTTGCGGGTTAATTTATTACGTGCGAGTCTGGAGTTCAAATATTTTTAGTAATGTTCGTTGATGTAAAATTACATAGTTTGCCTGAAACTTAGATTTTAGTAATCATTATGTGGCATTAAATCATATGGATATTTTCTACCGCTGATGTGGGTTGGTTGGCTGTTTATTGGCATATCAACACCTCTATGGGTTATTTCATGCCGAAATATAAATATTTTGAACACAATTTTATAACTTTTATAAAATGTATTTTTGGTCATTTTGCTATAAAATGTACTGTTGTTAATTCTGCTTTAAAAGTGTAATTTTACTATGAAAGTGTATTTTTATACTTTCATAGTGTTTTGTCTTTGTCCGGGGGTTCATTATTTTGCCCTTAGCTGGGGACCTAATAGGTGCTACCACCAAAGGTCAAGATGGATCTGGGAGCAACAGCAATTAAGAGGTGGTTCCACTCTCCTCAAACTCTCCCAATCATTAGACACTCTCTGAAGATCGCAAAAGCGTGAAACCCAGGGTTAAAAACTCATGCCCATACAACTGATTATCTATCTATCTATCTATCTATCTATCTATATATTCATGTAACGCGAGATCTCGTGTACCGTGAGACGCCAAATTTTCACTTCTAAAAAATGATTTTATCATGTATCTCGTGTATAATGCGAGTTCTTTTTTGCGAAACCAAATTACAACGGACTAATCTCTTTTCCTCTATTTTTTTATCCAATCTCCTGGTTAAATAAGTTGAAAAAAGTAAAAGAGATTGATAACAGTATCATCAATAACGCTATACACGTTGCGTAAACGTGTGTATTTATATATATATGTGTATGTATTTATATATGTATGTATGTATTTGCATGTGTATATATATACATATATATATATATGTATATAAATAAAAAGAAAGAACAGTAAGATATAAAATCCGGTGTTCTTATAGATATTTTATTTTTTTTTTTTTTTTTTTTTTTTTTTTACAAAATAGTGCTCAATGTAAATTTACAGAGCATTAATATTATAAATTAATTGATTTAAAATATGGTTATTTTCGCTACACAGTTCCAACCATGTTTCAAAAATAGAAGCTAAAAACCCCTCATTTTATTTTTGCAAATAAATTAAAAGCATTAGTTCTATTTCATCTTCAAGCGAATTTTGGAGTAACTTTTAAAATTTACCGGGTTTTAAATACACAGCTAAAATCACGTTTCCATGGTTACAGAATATTCTACTCAAATTGAACACGGGGTGTCTAGATTTTCCTTATGACAGTATCATTGTATCAGTTATTAGCTACATTTTGGTAAGGGGTGAGGATGTATTTTACACTGAAACCTGACGTCGGTTGAATGGATGTCGTCTGAATTTAAAAAAAAAAAAAAAAAAAAAAAAAAAAATTGTTAACGGTAAAAAATTTTCAACGTCATCTTTTAAAATTAAAGATTTTTTTTACAATACTTTTTATTTATTCTACAAATACATATATATATACATAAATACATACACATACATATATATATATATGTGTATGTATTTGTATACATATATATATATATATATGTGTTGTATTTGCATGTATATATATGCATATGTAAGGGTGTGTATGTATTTGCATGTGTATATGTATGTGTATATGTGTGTATGTGTGTGTATATGTATGTATGTGTGTATATATGTATGTATGTGTGTGTATGTGTATGTGCGTGGATGCATGGGTATATGTGTGTATGTATATATATATGTGTGTATGTATATGTATATATAGGTATATATATATATGTATGTGTGTATGTATGTATATGTATATGTATGTGTATGTGTATGTATAAGTATGTATGTATGTATGAATGTATACATGGGGCATATGTATGCGTGTATATGTATGTGAAAAGTGTGTGTATATGAATATAGATGAATATGTGTATGTGTGGATATGTGAATATATTTTTAGGTTTTTGTATATATATATATATATATATATGTGTGTTTGTGTGTGTGTATATGTATATATATATATATATATATATATATATATATATATATATATGTATATATATGTATATATATGTATGTATATATATATATATGTGTGTATGTGTATGTATGTGTGCATGTACACATATGTCTGGTGTGTGTGTGTGTACATGCCTAAGTGTATGTACCTACTTGTATATGTTTTTTTTGTGTATTAGTATGTGTTTTTGAACATAGAAATATTTGGTCCTTGCGAAATGAGACAATCGTTATATTCATCTTCATATATTTATATTTGATTTAATTTTCCCAATTACGAAGCGGCCCTTTATGTAAACACATTTTTATTTTCCTTCGTCCTATCCTCTCCCCCAACCTTTCCCCTTTTTTTTTTTTTTTTTTTTTTTCCTTCCTATCCGAATTGTCTGTGGTGTGTATATGTCACCACGAAATGTATCTTTATGTATTAGACATCCGTCGACTTTCTTTCTCTCCTCTTTTAAATCCACCCCACCCACATCTCCAAAAAATTCTCTGTCACTCATCCTCATACTTACACTTTCTCTAAATTCTGTTTTGATTTCCGGAGTTGTTTTTTTTCTGTTTTCATTTTGAATTTGTAGGTCTGATGATTTGGATCGTATTTACGATTCCAATGGAATAAATTATGACCATGGAATATTAGTGTTTAAGCCTTTTTATTATATCCTTACTCTGTCCTAGACATTGAGTTCTACCTGGATCCTTCCTCTTGGAAAATTTTTTCTGAAAATATACATGTATGGGAATTTTTAGATATATTTTTCATATGTATGTATATTTTCCACTAATATATCTATATATATATATATATATATATATATATATATATATATATAGATTGGCGAACGGCTTAGCAAGAGCCAGCAGTATATTTTATATCTCGTGTATGATGCGACGCCCTTAAAATTAGCTTCTCAAATGCCGCATGATACGTGGATTATATATATATATATATATATATATATATATATATATATATATATATATATACTAGCAGTCATAACCAGCTGGTTTATCAGAAAAAGGGTTCAATTAGAATGGAGTAAAAACAGCATCATGTTTAGATGTAACAGAGTCTATTTCCTTCCATTACTTTAAAGTACTTTCATTAAAAACATTTTGCATTAATGCAGTTACTGATATAACAGAAGTAGTCTGTATTTATTTAATCGATGTTAGCTGAGGCCATGAAGGGTAAAACAGGCAACACGAAGACCCACTTCAGACCACAATTATTTTGGAATTTTTGAAATTCAATTTGTCAGTGTACTAAAAGGAATAGAAAAGTAGATACATTTGCAAAGCGATTGTTAAATTTGAAAATTAGTTGAAAGATCAACGAAAAATAAGAATACACCAGCCAAAATCGCCATTTTTCGCTATTTACGTGGGTTTTCACTATATGTGTGGACTCAATTATCAAGTTAAATGATTGTTAAACAATGAACTTATTGTTGGTTACAACTGAGTGAAATTTAATTAAATTACTTAGATTGAAGGAATTTTAAAAATTTGTGTTGAAATCGATTTTTCGTTTTTCGCTAAACGTAGTGGCGTAGAAATAAAAATGAGGTATTGTTGAGCTCGTAATGATGTAAGTAACCTACATACCGAGTTTGAACAAAATTGGAGGAAAAACGTTGACTTTATCGATTCTTCTTCGGGTATTGAATTTTTTTAAAAAAATATCGACTTTTACGCTGAGAACTTATTTCTTACGTTGTACAATGTATGTGCCAAGTTTGGTCAAAATCGGTTGGAGGGATCTCGAGTGAAAAGGTATCATCCAGACAGACAGACACACCGACATCCATTGTTTTATATATATATATATATATATAGAGAGAGAGAGAGAGGGGGGGGAAACACCAAAATTGTCCAAATTGTGTAACAGCATGCGATAATTGTCCATCTCAAAAATGTTTAATATCTAAAACAAAAAAATAAAAAATAAATAAAAAAACACTAAACTAATTGAGTTTTTCAGGTTTTCAGATGAGACTTTTAGTCATCTTGATACCATTTGTTGGAAGAATTACTGAAAAACCCTTTGAGTTATGCAAAAGGGTAAAATCAGTTTGTGTCAGCCCCACTATGTCTTCCCAATTTTGAGACAAAAAAAATCATTCAGGCTTTCAGTAATGGTACCAACATTCATACTCTGGCTTCCATCTTCAAAGTTCATTAAAGAACCATGAAGAGAACTGAATAAGTTAAAAAAAGAAAGAAAAGAAAGCAGTAGAGAGGAAAACTGAATGAGGCGGTCATAACAGCAAGAGTGATCATCGTTACAACTTAGATCTAAGTACATTCTTATTCTTCAAACTAGAGTTTACTAGTATTATAAAAAAAACCCCCAAAAAACTCGGCGAATTCCAGTAAGATATCTTTAATCATTCTAAGATACCACAGTTCTAAGTTTAATCTAAAAATTGGACAGTTTTGCTGTTACACTATTTGGAAAATTTTACTGTTACACCCGGTACATATATGTATCGTGTCATATCGTTTTCTCCCAATTTTCTTTATCTCCAGGAGTTAACCTCAGTGATCTCTTTTCTATTTACATACGTTCGTTACATTCACTTACGCGGGAAAGGTATTAATCCATCAACCCACCCAGCTACTAATAGTAGGATTAAAATTCCAAATATGTTTCAGCTTTAAACAACCCACAAAGACGAAAGAACTCAATCAACCAATCAATGCTCTATAATTGTTAACTTCACTGTCATGTATTATTTTAGAAGCTAAGGTCCTATTTAATACTCAATCAGTTATGTGCCATGCGTGATACATGCTTAGGTGATCATGTATCTTTCGATACATGACTGACAAGGCAGATTTTTCCGCCATAGCTTACCATTTCTTTCTGCGGTAGACCAGTTGCCATCCAAGGCTATAGAACCCAGTCTGTCCCGCTATTTGTGTGAAGAAGAGGAGGATTCATACCCTTCCCAAGGGTATTAGCACATAAGTGAATGTAATGGATTCGACTGAAATTCGAACTCGGCTCTCCGATTCTGAGCCGCTATCCATGCCTGAATTTAACATTACGAAATTCAAATTTTCTTCTCTTGATTACAAAATTACTGTTGAGTAGTAATAATCATAAAGATTTATGCTTTTAAATTCATTAAAATCAAACATATCCAAAGAAAAACAATCAATGCGTTAGTGACACAATATAATTAGAAATTAATGAGATATTCCGTTCATATGGCAATACAAGGAATCTTTGCTTCGAGGGATATAGTGTTACCATAATAATGTAATATCTCTTCACTAAGTTGTTGGATTAGGTTACGAGACGGATAAATATATAAAGTCAGTTTTTTTTAATACATACATTAATGTTATTTTTTTAAATCTTATTTTCTCCTATCTTTCTTCCGTGTCGTTTTCTCTCCACGACTTATTGTAATGGTAGAGGTGAGGTTTCATCGATCGTAATTCATCCTGTCGCCATCAACGCTATACTGGCGTATAAGCGAATAGAATTAACAGCAAGAAGCTACAGCCTTAGATTTCAAACTTCACTTAACGTATCGGAAGGACTAAGATTACGATAGCGATCCCGACAGGAATGGTCGTCGTCGATGTAAGAATGGAAAAAAGGTATTCGTGACGAGAAGAAAAAAAAATATTGGCTGTTAAGGTTGAAGAATGTAAACGAACGAGAAAGAGGAACAGGCAAGAAACTATTCAATCTTCTGTTCCGTTGTTTAAATTCCATTGTAAACTTACCCCACAAGAATATTATTTTCTCACATTTATACCTGCCATTTTCAAGTTTTATTTACAGTGGGACATGGCGATTTACTGTCACTGATAAAAGTGCTGCTTTTATTCAAATAACCGTCAGCAAATATTCAAAAGCCAGAGTGGTCTAGCATTTTTAGAATTGATATTTCACATCTACGAAACGAGCTTTTTTATAACTCATGCTTCAAATTGTTCTTCATACTACGACCCTCAACTCCTATATGTTTAGTAATATAGTGAGACAGTTTACCATTTGTAATGGCAGTGGTTGAGAAAGTTTCATAATAAATTAATTTGTTGTTTTCTGCATATATATATATATACATATATATATATATATATATAAAAGAACTATATAATTCAAGGAGAGAGAAAAATATACTTGTGTTTCACACTCCACGACCAGTCTTTTGAACAGGAGTAGATCTTTATCCATTGCTTCTCTTTTTAAGATTGAGTTTCCGGTTTATTCTAAAGTTTTTTTTTTTATTCTCTTTCACTCCCAGTAGCCCTTTGCATCTTAAAGGAAATATCACCTTGATTGGGGTGAATTGATTAAAAAAAAGATACAGATAGACAACGTAGAAAAAACACTTATGTAATCGTGTGCGCATGTGTGCACCATGTAGTTTGGTTGAAATAAAGAAGTCAGTTTGACCAACAGCTCTCACTCGAAGAAGGGAGACTGGACACGTCTGTACCTAGAGATCTTGTGACTGAGAGAGAGAAAGAAAGTGTGTGTGTGTTGGAGGGAGAGAGAGAGAAAGAGTCCTTATCTTTTATACCGCTGATTAACACGCCGATTCGAGGTCTTTGAAGGACGGCCATGGGAGACAAAGTGGCGCAATCCAACAATATCCAATAGCCGGTTGTTTGAAACAACTTCTTGGTTAGGCGATCTGTTAACGAATAATCATTCGCAAAAATTAAGCAAATGATCGACTGAATTTTTTTTAAGGTTTATCAACCTCTTGTGGGTTATTTAAAACGGAAATATATTTTGGTTTGTAATAATAATTACTTGTAGTGAATATTGTATTAACAGGTTTTTGAGAATATCAATGATTTTTCCATATACAAATCCTATTAGTTAACCCATAGCAGAGGTGAGGAGATGGCGTCATACCATTCCCGAAGGTCTTTGCGCGTGAGTGAATGTAAGGAACACGACTGGGATTCGATCTCGGCTCACCGATTACTCATTCCGAACCATTATCCATTATACCGCCCGTACATCAACGGCACTTAAGTCTTAATGAAACAAAACAGTATTCCAAAACTGGGATCTTTTTTTTTATTTCCATGCAACACCGACTATCTGGTCAATATTTCCATCATTTTGAAGATATCGTAATTTTTTCTAAGAATTCACTAAATAAAACGTAAAGTAGTTCGTTTATGAATGAATTTAGCTTATTCACAGGAAGAAAAAGAAACAATTTGTTAACTGAATAATTATAATATCACAAATTTATAGAAATAAAATATTTCGTCAAAAACATGGTAGAGACTTTTCCTCAACTACCTATAGTTATATTTTAAATTTCACTTGCAGCGTTGGATTCTTGCTACAAGTGATGCCCAAATTTATATCAAAACAGACAGAAAGTGGTCATAAGACGTATCTGCATTTCCACTACCTTTTTTTCTATATTATTCCGTTTAATCTTACAGGGTTGCCAATAAAAATATATCATTTTGTTTCAGTACAAGACCCAATAAAAACGACATATTATTCCAAAATATAAACGCGTAGACATATTGCTCATATTTTGAAGACAGTTCCCTGTCGTTGGCCACTGGCCAGATGTCCAGCTGTGTTGTCCAGTGGAACATTTAACTTGTCTTTCATCTTGTCCCAAACACCGTTGACATTTCACAAAAGCAAGCTGCATCCTGATTATATGTAGAAACGGAAGATAATTGACACGAGATAGGTGTGAAGCGCGTGTAAAAATGCGCTTTCAGCTATGCTCATGTACGCTTATGCTTTTATAACAAATAGCCTTTGAAAAGCCAAGAATTAATCTAGGTAAGAAAAATCTAATAGCGATTGGGATATAATAAATACAGCCTATGGGGTCGGTCCGATTTAGGTAGAGCCCGTGTTTGTGTAGATATAAAAAGATGAAGGTCTGTGCAGATGTCACGTGAGGAAGAAAGCTTAAGGCATGGACAGGGAGAGATTGTGACTCACAGACAGGACCGCCATTTTGGACAGCCATTTTGAAAAAAAGAGTAAAAGAAGATGGAAAAGAGAAATGAAAGAGAAACGACAGGAAATATGAAAGAGAAATGAAAGAGAATAAGAGGGTAAAATGAAAGGTGTGAAAAACTGAAAGAAAAACAACGAAAGAAAAATCCTTTAAATAAAAAATAATTAAGAGGACTGTTGTGAAGTCCTAAGTTTTTACTTTACTACTCAATGCTCATGTGTAGTTCCTTCTTCTCGTAATCGGAGACATTATATAGCCTGGGTATTCCGGATATGTTAATTAGTTAATCTACATATCCCTACAAGGACAGCTATATAAAAAGACAAATATGATGACAAAATAAGAATGGAAAATGATCAGTAGGAACACACACACACAGAAAGAATGAAAAAAAAAAAAAACAAACTTGGGAGGCAAGAGAAAGGATGTAAGCAAGGAATGTGTTATATACCCTACCTAGAAACACTAATGGCGATATCCCAGTCCTCATAAAAACATTGGGCACTACTATTGTAAGTGTGTGTGTATGGGGGGCGGTAATATGCCGTCTAAGTAGTCCACCAATAGCAGTGGTTTACCTACTTCCTGCCGCTGGCGAGTATTGTATTTTGTTGATGTTATAAAGATTACCATTTCATTTCCAACCTCCGTTTTGGTTATTCCTCATTCAGTAACCATTTCTAGGTTACAACAGAGAGTAAAATAGAAAACTAAATATCAATATTTATTAAAATATGCAACAATATCCACATAACATTTAATACACACACACACACACATATATATATATATATATATATATATATATATATATATATATATGAAGCAAACGATACTCCAGTGGATGTTGAGCCTATGGATGTGATGTGCCCATTTCTCGGAAAGCTCTTGAGACAAAAATCCCAAAAATACAAAGGAAGAGGAAAAGAAGGGATACAAAGAAAATCGACATTAACCCGAAAAGGCAAAGATATTGAATCTGTGCAGAGTAAAGTCAAAAAAGCGGGAAGTGGGGTTATATAAAGAACCTAGAACACTAATAGGTATGCACCAATCCTCATAAATACATTGGACACTATTGTAAGTGGGGGTCTAAGCAGTCCAACACTAGCAGTGGTTTACCTACTTCGCCGCTGGCGAGTATTGTATTTGCTTGATGTTATAAAGATTACCATTTCAATTTTCAACCTACGTTTTGATTATTCCTCATTCAGTCACCTTTCTTAGCTTACAACAGAATGAATCATTGTAAATTCATCCTTCCCTCATTTTATCATAAATAGTTGGTTGATTTTGTTTCGAGGCATATCAACCTCTATGTATTATTTAATAACGAAAGCAAAAATATTTAGAACGTAATTGTCTACTTTCAACGACAGGTAGAATGTATTGTTGCTAGTTTTGCTATAAAATGTATCGTTGGTAATTAATAATTAGGTACTGTTGGTAGTTTTTTTTTATATAAAAGTGTATTGCTGGTATTTTTACTATAAAAAATGTATTTTCATACTTTCATAGTGTTTAGTTTTTGTTTGGGAGTTCACTATTTGCCCAAGACTTGGACCCTAACAGGTGCTACCACCTCAAGCCAGGGTAGACCTGGGAACACAAACAATTAAGAGGTGGTTCCCCGCTCCCCAAAACCTGCAATCCCCTGATCAGAGGCGTTGCTGCCGGATGTAGTTTATCGTCATATCCAGCTTAACAGTAAAACCAATGCAATGAAATTCTATATTTTAATATGCAAATTAATGTTTTTAGATGAAAATAAGCATTAACTAACTCTAGTCAAATTTACAGGATATGTTATATATTTTATTTTATTTTTTTAATCATTTCACCCCAAGGAAGGCGATAATACAACTAAGACACAAGGGGGTGACTGAGGGTGAAAATGGGAATATTTCAGAAGGGACCAGAAGCCCAATCCTAAACAAGAAATAAGGGATAAACGTTTACTTCTGTTGAAAAGACAGTAAAATAATGTGAACAGGGCGATATTCGTATGATAAAGACACCATGTGATTTTCATCATATATTATTTTTAACAGACATTTACAATAACATTTGCAGGTGTGAGGTTTTATTTTGAGTAATTTTTCATCATATGTAAATAAATATACATAAAACTATTGCCATCGGCTATATATTTTGGATTTATTTATAAATAAAACATATATTGCATTTAGTTTGTTTGTATAATAAAACATAATACACACAAAACAGGCTATTATTAATATTTTTATAAATAAAACAAATAGATATTACAATCTGAATACTGCAGTATATATTGTTGATATGAATATATATATATATATATATATATATATATATATATATATATATATCCTGAAAATGTTATCAACATCACCATTTTATGGTGGAGGCTTTGACTTGCATCATAAAATCTTCTATTATTAACTCTACGAAATTTATTAAAAATAGACGTATTTGAAGTTCCGATTTGATGAAGGTAGTTACATTAATAATTCTTTTGTCTAATGTTGAAGAAAAGCCTTCATTCAACATAATAAATATTTATTTCTCAACACGATCTCTTTTCTCTTTAATGCGCTTAACTCCAAGCTTCACACTTAATGCAAACATAGAACATAATAATATATATATATATGTGTGAAGAAATATAGGCTTATATATGAAGAAATATAGGCTTAAGATGTGCTATATTTATGGGATAAAGTTCTCAATATCAGAGATAGAGCGTTTGTAAATATAAAAGTGAACATTGAAGTCAACACTCAGAGGCGACAGGCTGTTTCATGCTAGATGCAATCGTCAGACCACGACGATTGCATCTAGCATGAAACAGACTCTCTCTCTCTATAAATATATATATATATAATATTAGTGGTCAATATATATATATATATATATATATATATATATATATATATATATATATATATTATATTTGGTTGATATTATACAGAGCGCTTTCTAATAAGTACCATGTATATAATATATAAATAATTATACATATATATATTTATTTATATTTATATACACTTTTCACACACACACACACACACATATATATATATATATATATATATATATATATATATATATATATATATATATATATATATATAAATTTCCAAGAGGATAGAATTCAGGTAGAGCTCAATGTCCACGACAGAGCAAGAACATAATATAAAAGGCTCAAACACTAATATTCCATGGTTATAGTTTATTACATTGAAATCGTAATCACGATCTATTTCATCAGACCTACAAATATGAACCAGTGTGGATATCTCATTATATATATATATATATATATATATATATATATATATATATATATAATATAAAAAAAAGAAAGAACAGTAAGATATAAAAATCCGGTGTTCTTATAGATATTTTATTTTTGCAAAATAGTGCTCAATGTAAATTTACAGAGCATTAATATTATAAATTAATTGATTTAAAATATGGTTATTTTCGCTACACAGTTCCAACCATGTTTCAAAAATAGAAGCTAAAAACCCTAATTTTATTTTTTTTGCAAATAAATTAAAAGCATTAGTTCCATTTCATCTTCAAGCGAATTTTGGAGTAACTTTTAAAATTTATCGGGTTTTAAATACACAGCTAAAATCACGTTTCCATGGTTACAGAATATTCTACTCAAATTGAACACGGGGTGTCTAGATTTTCCTTATGACAGTATCATTGTATCAGTTATTAGCTACATTTTGGTAAGGGGTGAGGATGTATTTTACACTGAAACCTGACGTCGGTTGAATGGATGTCGTCTGAATTTTAAAAAAAAAAAAAAAAAAAAAAAAAAAATTGTTAACGGTAAAAATTTTCAACGTCATCTTTTAAAATTAAAGATTTTTTTTACAATACTTTTTATTTAACTACGATTTGAAATATTTTCCTTTTTAATTTTTATTTTACTATATTCTTTTTAAGAACAGTTAAATGTATTAGAATCCATTATATTATGTAGGATTATTTTAACATTAAGTTTAAGTATGTATATGAGGTTACATTTTTTTTTTTTTTTTTTTTTTTTTTTTTTTTTGTATATGACTATGACAGCAGAAATGGTTACTTAATTTCACTGATTCAGTAAACTTTTCTTTTATATATAAACCTATTATTATAATATTTCACATGTAAGTACTGAGGACATGGGTCATTCAAAAGCTTACATGTTATGGTATTTCATATTAATTTTATTTTACTATAGGTGTTATTTTTGGATTCTTTTTAATGCGTGTAGTATTATTTAAAAGATATTTAGGTTAGAATTCATTCAATTTAACTACAATTTTAATTACAAATTCAAAATTACAACTTTAAAATTTTAAAATATTTTCATTGTTTAGTTTTAATAGACTATATTACTTTATAAGTAATATTAATGGCACTTAACTAACATGTTATTTATACATACATATGAAACTTTATTAATTAGGTTACATATATCTGAAATAAATAAATTAATTAATTAATAAATAAATAAAGTTTACTAAATCTGAGAAATGACTTAGCTAGTTTTGTAGTAAGTGCCATTAATATTACTTAAATAATATTTAAATTTAAAAAAAAAAAAATTTACATATACTTTGATATGGAAAAATAATCTTACTTAATATGAGTAATTTTCCTTCTGTTATAAAGAAAAAACAAAAAAAAAAAAAATGTAACCTCATATACATACTTAAACTTAATGTTAAAATAATCCTACATAATATAATGGATTCTAATACATTTAACTGTTCTTAAAAAAGAATATAGTAAAATAAAAATTAAAAAGGAAAATATTTCAAATCGTAGTTAAATAAAAAGTATTGTAAAAAAAATTTTAATTTTAAAAAGATGACGTTGAAAATTTTTTACCGTTAACAATTTTTTTTTTTTTTTTTTTTTTTTAAATTCAGACGACATCCATTCAACCGACGTCAGGTTTCAGTGTAAAATACATCCTCACCCCTTACCAAAATGTAGCTAATAACTGATACAATGATACTGTCATAATGAAAATCTAGACACCCCGTGTTCAATTTGAGTAGAATATTCTGTAACCATGGAAACGTGATTTTAGCTGTGTATTTAAAAAAAAAACCCGATAAATTTTAAAAGTTACTCCAAAATTCGCTTGAAGATGAAATGGAACTAATGCTTTTAATTTATTTGCAAAAATAAAATTAGGGGTTTTTAGCTTCTATTTTTGAAACATGGTTGGAACTGTGTAGCGAAAATAACCATATTTTAAATCAATTAATTTATAATATATATATATATATATATATATATATAATGAGATGTCCATCTTGTTCCTATTCTTGGTTATATGTGGGGAAGAAAATGGTTGACCCTAGACTTGAACATGTTAAGTTTGTAGTGCTCGGATAAGCATCCTCTTGAGTATTGGTTCCACAAATAAGCTGTCCAAAATACAGCTTTCCATGGCGGGAATAGAATCCTACCTGAATAGGGCTGGAGGTTGCACTCGCCGAAACGCAGCCATGGATATACAGATATACATACTCTTCTGAACAATTTGTCAATGAAAGCTAACATAAATTCAGGAAACATCTTTTAAAATCAAACACTTTAAGGATGTAGGGGTTCATTGTTCTCTACAAATTCCTTTGCTTTATTATTTGTTAATTGCCATGTATTCTTGGGAAGCATTGCGCAGTTGTTTCCCGTCAACTTCTCTATTATTTGAATTCTCTTAAACAGGTTGACACTCAAGACTAGAGCGCCCAGCTTAACGTGCTTTTTAACACATAGCTGGGTGGGGTATGGAGAAGAGTTTGATTCATCCCTTTCTTAAGTGCGAAAGGGAACATTACAGTGTAGCCCGGAATTTTGTCTCAGTTGGCTGATTCCACTTTTAAGCAGGCTGGAAACGATCTGGCACAAGCTCGCACGACTGATATACGCGATTATCAGAAAATGAAAGCAACT